ACGCGCACTGGGACGCGGGGGGGGCGAGCGGTGCGGGACCCGGGCGTGGACATCGCCATCGCCGTGGCCACAGAGGCGGGCCTCATCACGCCCATCGTGCGCGGCGCTGATGCAAAGTCACTGCCGGACGTCGCCGAGGAGGTGCGGGAGCTGGCCGCGCGCGCGCGGCGTAACCGGTTGAAGCCCGAGGAGTTCCAGGGCGGCTCCTTCAGCATCTCCAACCTGGGAATGTATGGCATCGACAGCTTCTCAGCCATCATCAACCCGCCGCAGGTGGGGTGGAGAGGGAACTGTTTGGGGATATGAGAGCCATGGACCAAGAGGGGAAAATGGGGTTAGTACCTGTGGGGCATCAGGGGTGTGTGGCGCTGGCGCCGTGAGCTTGGGAAATAACCATGCATCTCCCTGGTCAAATCCACCCCGGCTGTCCCAGCACCGTCTCGATTCCGGGTCCAACGCCTTTCCCTGCCTGCCCATGCTTCCAGGCGTGCATCATGGCGGTGGGGGCCAGTCGGACGGTGACGGTCATCGGCGCCGACGGCGTGCTCGCCACCAAGTCGGTCATGCGGGTGACGCTGTCCGCAGACCACCGAGTGTACGACGGCGAGATTGCTTCGGACCTCCTGGCCGCCTTCAAAGCCAATCTGGAGGCTCCCTTCAAGCTCCTGCTCTGATCCTGGTCCCTCCTCTTGCGCTGCAGCACCCTCCTTGATGTGTGCGTCGCAGCCGCACCCAGGCAGCCCCGCAACCGTGCTCGAGTCTGCGCACAGTTCCCTTGCCGTGCCCAGTATGATGGTTTCCACATGTTGACATGCACACATACTCTCAAAATTGAGGGCAGACGCCTCGTTCAACAACAAAGATCCTGTGCAGCGAGCATGATCAAGCGGCGCGACAGGCATGACAAGATGAGGGGAGAGGGTGGCCGGTATTGGCACCCTCCCCAGAAGCAGCGCGCGAGACATGCGGTGTACTGCGGTAGAAGAGAAGTTAAAAACCTGGGGGAGTTTGTCCTATGGTCCTTAGCCCGGCGACGCTCATTGACAGGAGGCTGCGGAGGGTCTCACCCCTCAGTCATCGTCCTCCACACTCGCCGTCACCCGCCTGCCCCCCTTGGACTTCTTCGCCACCAATCCCACCAGTGAGCCCTGTTGGCAGTGGGGGTGGAAAGTCAGGGCTGAGATGAGACAGGCTGAGCCCCACCCTTAGGAATGCGGTGACCTGGCGGGGAAGATCCCTTCCCACTGGGCCCCACACGATGCAGACAGCATTGGGAGCATGGGAGGAATCTGACCTGTCGCCCGTCCTCCCGACACTCCACACACAAGCAGCACGCACCACAGTGTTGTAGAAGTTGTTCCAGGCCATGAAGATCATGAGGCAGCCCGCTAGGAAGAAGCCGCGGTTGCCCCACAGGTCGTCATCCCTGTTCTCCAGATTCTGGAGCAGGGAGAGCAGGGAGATGAGGTGGCAGCGAGTTGCTTGTGCCAAATCACCAGGCGTCCCTGATGTACCATGTAGCCAATCACATACAAACAGAACTTGTGATGCCTATCCTATGGCTCTGCCCAGCGGCGCTCTGTATCATGCCTTGATTCCTCTGATGTCACCAAAGCCAGCACTCCCTCCACGCCCGACCCTCACCAGGTAGCCCTCGGTCCGAAGCATGGCCCAGTAGGAGTGCTTGATCATGACGCCGCCCAGGTACACTTGCAGGCCCTGTGGAAGAAAGCAGGGCAAGGGGCAATGCCTTGAGTGGTGGGAATGACCATCTGGGTGCTTGAAGGATGGGGTAGTGGCGGGCTATCGTCATCCCCAGCATGCACCGCAGCCACCAGTGGTCCTGAACAACACCTGGCACGCGTCGGGCCAAAAGATTCCCATAGCCCTTCGAGTCACACAAGGCCAAAGCGCGCCAGAAGGCTGGCCCGGCACCAACAAATTCCCATCGAGATCCACAAATCCTGCCCCCATTCAACCCCCCTCCACACACGCACCTGCAGCAGGAAGAGGAGCGGGTAGAGGAAGACCAGCTGGCCGTGGGCCCCCACGCCGTCCCCCGCCACGACATCCATCGTGGAGTTCTTGCCCAGCGCGATGCGGGTGTACATGCGCCGGCGCTGGTACCTGTGCGCGGCGTGGGAGGGGGAGGCCTGGGTCTGGGCCGGAGGGTGGGTGTGGCACACACCGCTGTGCCCTGCAGTGGAGCTCTCACATGGCACTGACACACTCTGATCAGCGGCTCTGCCTTGAGACCTCGCACGCCGCCTGCGCCTGGCCTGCGCGGCCATCGCCAATTTCCCCTCGTCCAGAAGACGCCCTGGACGTGACCAGCCATCCAGGCAGGCACTCCCCCAGGCCAAGGCACCAGCCCCCACCCTCCTGCACCCCACCTGTTCTGGGTCAGGATGACGACGCTCTGCAGCATGGGCCACCAGAGGAAGCCGTTGATGGCCTTGCGGAAGGTGGGCGAGTCGACGGGGAGGGAGAGGAGGAGGCAGGAGGTCCCCGCCGCCCAGTAGTGGTGGTGGATCCACCAGGGCCGGATGTGCGACCCATTCAGCTTGAGCACCGACTCACGCAGTGCCGAGGCGACGTAGTAGAAGAGCATCCAGCAGACAAAGAGCTGGACGCCCACCAGCAGGACGGGGGCCATTGACACGCCGTCCCGCGACTCCGACAGCGCCTGGGTGCGGCGCAGGCCCCACTGCAGCACTGCGGCGAAGGCAAACATGGTGTAGGCGGAACGGTTGCGGAAGCGGTGGTAGTCCACCTTCATCTGCTGGCTCTGGTCCTTGCGCAGGGCCACCACGTTGCTGCTGGGCCCCAGCAGCAGGCTCAGCACGTAGGGCTGCCGCGTCTTGGCGTAGCGCCGCCTGCGTGGATTTGGGCATGGGTTTGAGTCTGGTCGGGGGGATTCATGAGTGGCTCCAGGACGGCAGTGGGAAGGACCGGGTGGCGCAGGGGCGGGGCGAGAGCAGGAGGGTGTGCGCAGAGCAAAGGGTTCAGGGAGCAGACATGGGACCCAAGCATCAAGAGCAAAGCCAAGCCCAACTACCGCAAGCCTGCTGCTCAGGACCCATCACCCGCTGCCCCATCCATCGCCTGCTCACAGGTCGCCGGCGGGGCCATTGCCATGCAGCACGCCCTGCGCCCTCTCCAGCTGATTCACCACCTCCTCCCAGCGGTCGTCGGACTGGAGGGCCACCCGGGCGGCCTGCAGGTCCCGCTTCAGGGCACGGGACACGCCAACCACCTCCTCTGCCAGGGCATCGCTCTCGCTGATGACCCGCTGATTGTACCCGCGGGCGCGACTGCTCAGGTTCCGGCTGTGATGGGGATGTGAGGCAGTGGATGGTGAGGTCCAAACCTCATCCCAACTCGGCGGGTGGCATGGAGGGCGCGCACGCCGATGGACCCACTCACGTCTGGGTGAGGAGCAAGTCCGCCTTATGAGAAGCCGACTCCAGCGCCTGTGCAGGAAGATCGAGAGATGCGCAAGCCATTATAATCTTCTAATAATTTCAGGCATTGCACCACAGAGGTAACCCTCAAACCACTCACGGGGTCGGTCATGTCGACCTGGGACTGGCGCCAGGCGCAATGGGGTGCTGTTTGAGGGCAAGGACCACTCAAACCCAGATTGGAGTTCGCTTGAGAATGCACCAGACACGGTTTTGCGGTGGTCATGCGGCCTCTTCTCGTTGCCAAACCGATCTCGCAACAGGGAAACCCACTGCTCGGAAGGGCTGGTGACGTGGCTGATGGGGGCAGGCTGGCTGGTGCGGTCCCATTAGAGTCTCCAGGCACCGACAGAATTGAGATGCCTGCATGTAAACCTGCTCTCAGGCTCTGAGCCAGTCATCTGCCCTGCATGTGGTCGTTTGGTCCTATTCTGTGGGGGAAAGGAAAGGTTCATATGGCCCTTCGGTACTGGCTGCTGGCTTCATGCCCCCCTGCATCAGCCCACCCCCCTGATCTGCCAGCTTGCCCAGATGTGTGTAAACCCCACAGAAACTCTCTGACCGATACGCAGTTTACCGACAATTCAGCTTTGTCGCATACCCAATCTTACGATGGTATCCACGCAAGTATTGTCGAAAGCAGCCAGCTTCGTCGCCGCTCTGCGGGAGCATGGCGTCGTCCGTACCTTGTCAGTGCCCACCGTCCGCCAGTCCCGGCGCTGCCAGTCCGGCAAGGCGGGGGCCAATCTGCCTGTAAAGCATGCCATGACCTCCAGGAGCATGAACGTGGTTGCCGCATCCGGCAATGGGGCCACAGCTCCCAGCGCCGGCCTGCCCATCGACCTGCGTGGTGGGTGCCGCGATACTGTTGAAGGGCATGCAGTTCTCTGTAGAGCCCCTCTTCTACATGCCATGTACGATTATATCGCCTCCCCTTGCAACGACGCAGGGAAGAAGGCGTTCATCGCGGGTGTCGCCGACGACCAGGTGCCCAGATCACTTGGACGCTGCACCCGGCCTGTTGGTGCCAGCTGATCCCCGCCTTGCCTCAAGAACATCGAACTGACACCAACAATCCCTTTCCTGCGCCAGGGTTTCGGCTGGGCCATCGCCAAGCAGCTGGCGGAGGCGGGGGCCGAGATCTCCCTCGGTGTCTGGGTGCCTGCCCTGAACATCTTTGAGAGCAGCTACCGCCGTGGGAAGTTTGACGCCAACCGCAAGCTGGCCAACGGCAGCCTGCTGGAGTTTGCCCACATATATCCCATGGATGCCGTGTTTGACACCCCCGAGGACGTCCCGCCCGAGGTGTGGGGCCTTCTTGGAATGGCTTGACCGCACCTTGCATTCCACAGGACTCCCGACTTCCCCTCCACTGGGGAAGTTTCTCAAGCAGCACAGATCGCCCCCCGTTTCCTCTGCCATATACCCCCGGGGGACCCTGCATCGCTGCACGCAGCTCGTGCCAGGCCTATGCTGCATGCATGCCTGCCGCCCCATGCCTGCGCACCTGGAACCTCACCGCCCCATTGTGCTCCAAACCCTTCCCCTCCCCCCTTATCTTTACCCCCCACCCCCCCCACCCCCCCATCCCCACCCCAGATCGCCGAGAACAAGCGCTACGCCGGGAACGAGGGGTACACCGTGTCGGAAGCCGCCGAGAAGCTAGCCCGCGACGTGGGCAAGATCGACATCCTGGTGCACTCCCTGGCCAACGGCCCCGAGGTCCAGAAGCCGCTGCTGGAGACCAGCCGGCGCGGCTACCTGGCCGCCCTCTCCGCCTCCTCCTACTCCCTCATCTCCATGCTCCAGCGCTTCGGCCCGCTGCTCAACCCCGGCGGCGCGGTCATCTCGCTGACCTACCTGGCCGGCGCGCGCGTCATTCCCGGCTACGGCGGCGGCATGAGCTCCGCCAAGGCCGCGCTGGAGTCCGACACCAAGGTCCTTGCCTTTGAGGCGGGGCGCAAGTGGAACGTGCGCGTGAACACCATCTCAGCGGGCCCCCTGGGCTCGCGCGCAGCCAAGGCCATCGGCTTCATCGACGACATGATCAAGTGAGATTCTATCTTGGGAGGACGGGGTCTGTACTGCTTGGTGGCTTGCGGCTGCGGTGTGTCGGTTTGTGCGGGGACCGTATGGGCTTGCCACAAGGATGGTGGGGGGGGGGGTGAACGCGCCCGCGCGCGCCCTGCCGCTCCAGGGGAAGGCTCCTCGCTCCAACACCCGGTCGCTTGCCCGGCCTGTGCCGATTCTTTCATTCCATCTCGAAGGGGCACCCACCTCCACCGCCACCTCCACCGCCACCACCACCCACATACAACCCCCTCAACACCCCTAAACGAAAAACCCGTAGGTACTCGTACGAGAATGCGCCCATCCAGAAGGAGCTGTCGGCGTACGAGATCGGCAGCGTGGCCGCCTTCCTGTGCTCGCCGCTGGCATCGGCGGTGACGGGGCACGTAATGTACGTTGACAACGGCCTCAACACCATGGGCCTGGCCCTGGACTCCAAGGTGCTGGAGCGCGAGCCCGTGGACGCCAGCGCCTGAGCGCCAAGGGTTTCGCCTTTTCGCGGGTGCCAGTGGGGGGGGGGGGGGTTGTCGCCGGCGGCCTCGGGGTGGATGAGAGGGGGGCCCGCTCCGCGCTGCCGACGGCCCCTTCCACCCCCTCCGGACCCTGCCATCCACCCTGGCCCCTTTCTGAGACCGAATCTGGGACTTAGAACTCTGCATAACCTCCTTCCCTTGCTCCGTGCCAGTGCCTCTTTTGTCCCCAGACTGATCCTCTGAAAATGGCCCCTCCCCGGGCCTCAGTACACGGCAACAGACCAATTGAGAAAGGGGGATCAAACCGCAGCAGCACTGTGACTGGGCGTGTGGGAGTCTACATGTTGAGGGGGATATTCCGTGCAAGGGAAAAGGCACGGCGTCTCGACGCCACCATTACCTCCCCTTCCCCGTGCACTCCCCTCCCATGCCACTTCGCAGTGCAACCCAGACCTCCTCCCTTGCTTTCATCACATAGGCAGCTCCAGCTGGCGCCCCATGAGCACGACAGCGGCGAGGGTGAAGGCCAGGGGCAGACTGACCAGCCACTTGAGCAGCTTGTAGTAGTGCATGTGGAAGGAGAGGCTGAACTCGTCGCACGTGAGCAGGCCAAATCTGTCCCGCGCCTCCAGGCGCACCGTGGCGGTGGTCCGGGCGACAGGGCAGGGCACCTCCAGCGCGTAGCGCCCGCCCGCGGCTACCGTGTCGGCTGCGCCGATCACCGGCGCCTCGGCAGCCGCCATGTGGGCGAGGGGGGTGTTGGTCAGCGTGGCCGCCACCCGCCAGGGCCCGGGGCCAGGCACCGGCCACGATGCATTGCTCCCCCCCGCCCCCGCCCCCCTCCTCCTCGCCGCCGCGCCGCCGTCCAGCAGCGTGAAGCGGATGGGGAGCGTGCGGCCGCGCACGTCGCGCGGCGCGCGGGCGTCGGCCGAGGCCCACACCCCGCGCCGGCCCCAGCGCGCGGTGTGCCCGTTGAGGCCCTGCGCCGCGGCCGTCCAGGCGCGCAGCGGGTGTGCAGGAGCGGGCGTTGCCACCGCATACAGGTCGCCGCCCATGGAGGCCACCAGCAGCTCCAGCCGGCCGTCGCCGTCGAGGTCATCGGCCAGCGCCTGCGCATACCCGACCTCGCCCAGGTCCAGAGCCTCCACGCAGCCGTCGGCACCGTGCAGGGCGTACAGGAAGCCGTCGTGGGCGAGCACCACGAGGTGGAGGTGAGTGGGGGAGGGCGAGGCGGCCAGGGGGACCAGCAGGATGGGGGCCATGATGCGGCCGCCCGCCTGGGAGGACAGAGGGGAATGGTTTTGATTTTTGAGGTGGCATGAGGGTGGCGTGGTTGGGAGGAGCCGTGTATTACAGGTGAGTGGGGGAAGGGGCTGGTACCGGGGGGGTAGGCTTTGCACCGAGGTGCCCGCTACTGCCAGCCCACCACAAGCCTTTTGCAGCTGAATCACTCGCCGCCCCACCTGATCTGGACCCCAAGCCCCCAACACCCCCCCTTTCACCCCGGCAAAAATAGCCTGCCTTGTAGGGGAAGGGCGTGAGGTCGCGGCCAGTGGCGCCCTCCATGACGTGGATGTGGCCGGAGGCCGTGCCCACCACCACCTCCAATGCGCCGTCGCCGTTCACGTCCCCCAACGTGACGCTCTGTGTGCCGGGGTTCCATGGGGGATGGAGGGTCATGGTAGGGATGGTGTGTTGCCATGATCTTGAATGGGAGGGAGCAGCACACTTTCCGGTCTCAGTGCAGGGCCATCGACTCCACGCGTACAGGATAACAACCAGTTCAGAGCAGCATCGAGTCGTGATGTCTACCCGCCGATACCTACAGGTCCAGTGAATGGCGGTGGTCTGGTCACGGGACCCTTACGCCCTGAGTTAACAAGAGCAACCAAACCCACGCCACCCTCATCAGCCACCCCCCCAAACCTTCCTGCCATCCCTGCCCACCTGGCTGATGGCAGACTCAAGGTGGCGCTCCCACACCTCCTTCCCAGTCCCATCAAAGGCGGCGACGTTGCCCAGGGTGTCTGTCGCCACCAGCTCCAGCTTGCCGTCGTCGTTGATGTCGTCCGCCACGACTGCTCCAAGGATGGGACCCATCTGCACGGGCCAACCCTCCAATGCTCCCCCGGTCACCGCATTCAGCACATACAGGAAACCCTGGCGGGGCGAGTTGGAGGAGGGTTGGGGGGCTGGGCGAGGTTGGTGGGGCAGGGGGCCGGCGAGAAGAGGGGTTAGCAAGGAGAGGTGTGGCAAAGACACACCTCCCGGGGCCACTTGACTGGATTGCAGCACCCCAAGCCGAGCCCTGTTCAGCAGGGTGCCAGGCTCCACGAGCGCCATCAGCACTCCCCCCCCTCGACGCACCACAGAGGTGCCAAACACGACCTCCAGCTTGCCATCTCCGTTGACGTCGACCAGTGTCGGTGGTGAGTAAGAGACCGCCCGGAACTTTGTCTGGTCTGTTGACAGGTCCAGATGCTGCATGCAGGGGGAATGGGGGAGTCCGGCTCTGGAATGCGGCGATGGAATCGGTACGCACCTGTCCAGCGCAAGGCAAGACTCTGGACAACGCCGGCTCGGAACATGTGACATGCCGCGTACAGAGTCGGCGATCCGAGCTCCCTCACGACGCCGTCGTCCAGGGAAGCCTGGAAACCCCCAATCTCCACCACAAGATAGTGCCCACACCCACCTGCCTCCACTTCACGGTTTGCCGGTTGAGGTCATACACGATCACCCCCACGGCCAGGTACTTGCTGATGTCCACATCCAGTCCCAGCTCCTGGCGGTGCCTCTGTTGACAAGAGCAGGGGGGGACCTTGGCCCCCTTGCAGGCCCAGCACCGAGAGGCCTCGCAGCTGGACAGCTCGGCAAGGCAGCAACCCGGTCAGCAATTCCACCCCGCCCCAGGGGCCGACGCAGCTGGAGGAGACTCCATGCCTCGAGTGGCATACAGGGAGCCTCACTGCCGGCAAGAGGACGGCCGGCCGGCTCACCTCGTCCTCGTAGTAGTCTCTATCGTAAAAATAAGAAACCACCGCCACCAGCTCGTCATGGCCGTCGCCGTCGATGTCGGCGATGGCGGGGGTGGCCAGAACATGGGCGTCCACCCTCAGATTAAAGCTGTGGGAGGTACGGGGCCTCGGCCAGTTGCTGGGCGTTGCCTTTGGGATGTCAAGAAGTCGCCTGCCAAACAGCTAGTTCTCAGTTACGTATCCTTTCCCCCCTCCCCACTCTGCAAGTGCCTGGGCAGGCCTCCGATGGCCCTCCAGTGGGAAGCACCTCGCACACGCACATCCTACCTTCCAACTGGAATGGTATGGTCTGGGGCGTGCCACTCCTCATCCTCCCACAGATCAGCCGGCTGCACCCCACCACCAGCCGGAATGTCACTGGAGTAAGGGTTGGAATGAGGGGAACAGCATGGACCAGGATTGCCAATGCCATTCCCGGAGGAAACCTGGTCACCAGGCAGTGCCACATATGCCTTCCAGCATGTCCTGAGCACCCTCCTTGGGCTCACTGAAACCAACCGGATTTTTGGTTGGCCCCCTACCTTCTAAAACCATGATGCCTGGTCGGGTACCCACCACGACCTCCCCATGCCGCGCCACTCACCCCTCGGCGAGGCCATAGGGTCGCTCCTGCTTCCCTATGTTGCCCTCCTCCAGGCTCCTCAGGCTGGGGATCCGCATCTTCACCCCACTCCCAAAGTCCTGCAAAAGAGATTGTGGAGGGAGTATGGCAGGTGGTGCAGCGACCCTGCTCAGTTTCATACGGTCTCCGTACTTGACAGTCCGCACCCTCCTCACATGGGCGTCTGCATCCCGGCCCTCCCCCCGCCCACCCCCACATCACCACCCACACCCTCACACCTCCACCACGGTGTCCTTCTCCACCACATCACCAAAGAGCTCTGCGTAGGAGTCAGCCGCCTCGTCGCTGATCACGTGCGCCCCTGGCTCCACGCCGACGGCATTGCCCCCGGGTTCGTTCCCCTGGCCGCCGGGCGTGCCCATGGCCCCAGCCACTGTGCCAAAGCTGCCTGTGGCATTCTGGCCACCAGGCGGGGTTGCGGCACCAACTGCGAGGCCTTGGCCGCCCACCGCCCCCGCGCCGCCTGCCTCCTCTGCCAGCAACCTCGTGGCTCTCCCCCTAGGCGCAACCTGGTCGGGTTCCGGGCGCGGCGCCGCATCACCCGGCACCCGCTCCTGCACCGTCTGCTGTCCTGCCGTGCTTTCCAGCACAGGCACCGCCTCGCCGCCCTCGCTCTGGGACAGGAGCCGGCGTCCAGCGCCCTGCCCGCCGGTCTGCTGCTCCGCGCCCGTTACGTCGGGCCGGGTGTGATCCACGTGGTCCAGCGCCAGGCCCTCGTACCAACCCCGCCGGACCTCCAGGGGCGGGATGACCAGGCGCCTGCTGGCTTCCTCGCCCTGCCGGGCCAAGGTGATATCGGGGTGAGGAGGGCGGACATCAGCATCGAGAGCCTGCGACGTGTTTGACTCTCACATGCCCCCCCGCTCCCTAGGTTGCCGGGCCCCCATTCCTACCAACAAACATGCACACTCACACTATTACCCCCCTCACATTGTCTTTGAAGAAGAGAATCTCCCCGCCGTAGGTCGCCACCACTATGTCCTGGACGCCATCAAAGTCGGCGTCGAAGAGCAGGGGGGAGGTGTGCAGGGTGGACTCGTGGAAGGCCTCGAAGTCCGCCTGCTTGGCGCCCCCCCCGCCCCTCCACCACCTCCAGGCTGTTCACAAAGGCGGGGACAATGATGTCCCGCCGCCCATCGCTATGCAGGTCAGTGATGAGGGGGGTAGCGTACACCGCCGACCCTGCCCTCGCATGCCACTTGATGGCCAGGTCGTGGCTGCAGGTGGAGTAGGGCACTTCGTCCCTGTGGTGTGGTGGCGGGAGGGGTGGGTGTGGGCGGGCGGGGCGGGGTGGGGACCATGGGGCAGGGCAGCCCTTTTCGACATCCAGCCCAGGTGGCCTTTGCAGAGCAAAACCCTGGCACGTACTGTTGAGAGTGCACGACAGAGTCCTTGGTGGCGCTACGCTGCAAGAACTTGTTACCGGCGATCCTGTCGGCATCCAGGTGCACCGTGGATCCGACGACCTGCGCCAGTGCAGCAGGGAACAAGGCCACCACCCACAGCCAGCGGGTGATCATGGCGACGCCCCGGTGTATGCTGGGACCATCCCCAGGGCTGGGCCGGTGGAGACCTGGTCAATGAATATTCTTAAATGGATAATCAGCTCGCCAGATCGAGTCCAGCTGACGCTTGATCAAGGACTTGAGAGGCTTGTGTGCGCGCGACATGGTTGCGCCCTCGTCACATCTGAGAGATCCCCGGCCACTTGGAATATCTAGGCAGCAAGACCACCCTTCACCGGCAGTCACTACATTACATCTTTGCCTCTCCATGCTCGCTCCCAGATCGCTCGGAGTACAGGTCAAACGGCTGCGACTCCAGCAGCCACACCCTGAGCACGTTGCAGCCGTGCGCGGGGTCGTCCCCCTGTGAGCAGCGAGCGAGGCCCAGTGGACTGCGCTCCCTCTGACCTCCTTGCTCTCCTAGGCCCAGCGCAGGGGCCTCTGCTAGATCCAGGGACCTATCGCTGGCCGGCCCAGGTTCGTCGCCCCCCTCCCCCTCCTCCTCGGACGAGCTGGAGCTGGGGCAGAGGGGGAAGCGGCGGTGCCCCGAGGCAGTTGCCAGCAGGGGGAGCGCGGGGTGGATGCTGACGCCGTTGATGGTGTCCCCCGCCACGAAGCAGGCGTCGGCCTGCGACCCGTCGCGCAGGTCGTACCAGCGCACCGCGCCGTCACAGCCGCCGGCCGCCAGGTGGCGCCCCGCCGGCTCGACGTCGAACTGCATGCGCTGGTGCGGCGCCGCACCCGCCGGAGCACGAGGGATGACGTAGGGCACGGCGCCGCCGCGCACGTCCCAGCAGGCGACGCCGCCGCCCCGCCCGCGGCTGCCCACGTACAGGAAGTTCCCGTCGGCCGACCAGCGCAGCGCATTGACCCCGGCGCCCGCGCAGCCCTGCAGCAGGCACAGCGCCTCCGGCGCGCGTGCGTCGTACAGCCCGGCGGCTCCGCCCGTGGTCCCCGCGGCCAGCCAGCCGGGGTCAAAGGGGCTGTGCGCCAGCGCAGCCACGATGCCGGGCTGGCCCTCGCCGCCGCGGGCGTGGGTGGGCAGGCGACGGCTGGCGTGGCCGGGGCGGGCGGTGTCGAAGAGGTGGATGCCGCGGTCCAGCCCCGCCGCCAGCTGGCCGCCGTCGGGGGCAAAGGACAGCGAGTGGGCGGCAGTGGGCGCGTCGGCCGCGTCGTGGATGACGTAGGAGCAGCGCAGGGCGCCGGAGCACGCATCCCACAGGTGCACCGGGTGGCCGCGCCCGGTGCTAGCGAAGCAGCAGGAGGCGGGGTCGCCCGCGGCCGTCCCGGGGAACCACGCGTAGTCGTACACCGCCTCGCCGCCAGGGATGCCGAGGGGCGGGGGGGGGGCCTCGCCCAAGTCGGGGCCGGTACCCAGCACGTTGCTGAACACACGCAGTCTGCCAGTAGGTAGAGGGAGATTTAAGGGGCGTACGGACAGGATCGTGGTTGGCGTGAGACTTGGCTCTGCTTCACAAACTTTCACGGGGGGTTGAGGAGGGGCGAAGACATGTGCAGCCCCCAGCTTGGGGCCTGCGTGGGTGAAGGCCCATGAGCAGCCACCCTGGCACCACCATGAACCGGCTCACAGCTTGCCGGGGCGCAGCCTGCGCACGGCTTGCACGAGCTTGAGCAGCCGACCCAGGCAAAGCTGCGCCCCCCACCCCACAGCCTGACCCTGGGGCTCACACAGCATCGTCGTTGCAGGTCAGGAGGAAGGTGCCGTCCGGCGACCACTGCACGCCCTTGAAAAAGTTGGAGTTTGGAGCCGCAGAGGCTGCAAGGTGAAGGGGGAGGGGGTTTTGCGTATTGGGAGGGGGCATGTGGGAGATGTCTTGAATTGCTCCCATCTCAACTGTCTGCCAGCAACGCTGGACGACACGAGCCAGGCAAGACAGACCCAGATACCACCCGTCTCAAGTCCATACTGTTCATGGGAGCGGTGTACTGCCATTGGAGCAGGGGCTTCGATGTGAATGTTAGCTGGTAGAGGGCCATGGTGGATGGGGCCCAGCTGGTTCGGAGTCACGACCAGGACTCTGCCCTATGAGATGGTGAGGGATCTCCACAGGAAGATGGGAGATACACAGTCTCGCTTCTGATTGAATACATGCTCTACCAGGCTGAACCAAACAGCCGCTGGAGCCGGTGCCGCTCACATGCCAGTGCACAAATGCACGTCGGAGGCCCGACCGGTGGGCTGTAACAGGAACAGGGGAATATCAGCCGCTCATGACCCATCACATCCAAAAACGTGGGAACAACATTCTAGTTGCGCATGCTTCAAGGCTGCACGGCATCCTTCCGCGCTCCACAACCCGCCCGGCATGCAAATTGTCTGCGCGCCCGCGATGAAATAGAGTGTTGACAGATGCCCTGGTAAGAGTCCATCGAACAAGGACAGACTATTCCATCCAATATAAGAAATAAAGTGTGGACAACGACCCCGACACCGCTGAGGGGAGAATCCCAGTGACGATGCAAAGCGAAGTAGGCCGACCTAAATGATCCTCGCATAGCACAGCAAGGATTATTATAGTCTCTGTAGCATCATGGTGAGCGCTGAACCGAGTATCTTACAAACGCAAAGTTAACCGAGGGCAGACAGAGTGATACAAAAGCAAATTTGGCGGAGACAAGGACTCTTCATGTTTGCCAGTCACGAAACTTGACTTCCCGGGCTCGGGCTCGTCGCAGCTTATGTTCTTGAGGATAACTCTGCTGAAGCTGAGCATTACCATCGCCCTCTGGATCCCATCGACCCCATTCTGTGAGGAGTCCTGGCCCACATCGCACTAGTCGTATCGGACCCCGTGATATGAGGTCTTCATGCCAGCAGATGCGCACATAGATGTCCATGTCTCGATTCCCGGGCGACCCATGGGGAGTACTGGGGCTGCCATTGGGCAGTGACCGGGCGACCGTGAAAGCCCGCTATCGCGAGCTCGCCCTCCGGCTCCATCCTGACACCTGCGACTGCCCAACCCCTGAATCAACAGCCAGATTTGCGGAGGTAACGGCGGCCGCAGAGAAGCTCCTCCAACAGGCGAGTTGCGATCGTGGACAAGGGGCAAGGCCCAGATACCGGCGGGCTGGCAGACAGGATGGCGCTCACTACTTCCCCTGATACTCCCAGCAGGGCTCGCAGCAGGTCAACAACCCCCACACCGGCTACAGCCACGTGCATCGCCAGCCGCACAACGTCTGGCGACCAAAACAAGGGTGAGGTGTCGCGAGCATGGACCATAGCAGCTCCGCATGGTAACATTGACGGTGTGCTGCTGTGGTCAGATGCATCAAACTGAGGGTGAGGGGTGATGCCCTTCGCACCCCTCATTGTGAGGCACACCATCCCAGCCTGCCCTCACGCTTCCACAGGCGACCGTCCTCAGGCCTGCTCCTCGCCGGGCTCACCTTCCTGGCTGGCTGTGGAGTGCTGGTAGGTGAGCAGGCCCGGCGTGGCTGGAAATCGATCCTGCGGTTCCTTACTTGGAAGAGGGTCGTCATAGCTGGGAGAGTCTCAGAGGGTTCCTCCCATGAACTGTGTAATGCCTGGGAGAGCATCGTTCATGCATTACCCCGTCACCCCTTGAACTCCCCGCAGGATCTCTGTGGATGCACAGCGCAGGTGGGCTGGGTTACCAAGCAAACACGCTGGCCGAGGCGGAGGGGCGCCTGCACTCCCCCAGCGAGCGGCGGCAGCGTCTCGTGGACATCATCATGCAGGAGCGGCAAACGATGGCGGCGAAACGCAAGACGGAGACTGAAGACTCGGGCTGATCCAAACCTGGGCCGTTTGGTGTACGAAGGCCGAACCTGTGCTGCAAATTGGACTCTTCCTTAATCTGCTGGCCATGCCTATGTCTTGGCAAGAGTTCTTCTTGATACATGTAGTAGACATGATGAGACTCCTTGTGTTTCTCCAGGGTCTTGCATGAGCATGTGCCTTGAGTCGGCAGCACCGATGTGTGAAGCGTTGTCACCAGCTTCGAGGGCCATTCCATGGAGTGTTTGGCTGCAAGAAGCGCTGAAGACGTCCCCTTTGGCAGGACCCTGAGATTTGCGGAGCGATTCTGCCCTGCCACTCCTGCCTTGCATTCACCTTCCTCGGAAGGCGGCACCAATTAAACATTTCGGAATACAGAAGTCCTTAGAGCAATAATTGCTCGAGCAAGCCAGCTGTGAACTGAAAAGTTCGGAGGTCATCTATCTTTTACACAGTATGAGCATTTCCAAAGAAAAGGGGCTGGGGCTGGCCTTGCCAAAATATTCAGGTTAGTACCGAAGATGCTCTTTCCCACGTTGGCAACGGCTTTGTAGGTCACTGAGCCTGACCTCACATCCTCTGGCACCCTGGGGCGACTGTCGTGAAGGATTCTACACTGGCCCCTCATAACTGAAGGCAACGTTGCAGCATGCCCGGGTCTCTGCTATTTCCGTACAGCGACGCTGACAAGGACTGGCCGGCAGATCAGAAGACTGAAGCTGAGGTGGGACCAAGCACTCCTACCGTTCTCGTACCGGACAACGGCCGTCCACCCTCTGAGAGTCTCTTGAATTGGAGTGAGTCTAATATCTAATAGGGAATGTCCGCGCGGGTCCTCCTATCCGCCTTGCATGTGCTGATGACGGCAGAAAGCTCTTGACGTCTCCGGAACGACGCCTTTCCCCATGCACCAACCATTCCGGGCAGGGAGGGGGGAAAGGGGTGTAGACACATCAAGAATCTTGGTGTGCGCACTATTTTTACTTTTATTTCAAGTCTTCAAGCTCCCAAGGTATATTGGTGTACCTCCCTGTTAGACTTCCGAGCCCTGCACGGTTTGAGGGGCTGCAAAAATTGGCGTCGCGCGGGCGCTCTCTGCTGTTGACCGTGACGCTTCTCGTCCTGAGCCTCGGCGTGCTCGCAAGGGTAGGTCAAGCGGATGTGCACGATGGTTGTAGAAATGTGGTGCGCGTCACCGACCACATTTGGATTTCAGACGTCCGCTGATCCTGCATCCCTGACCCCAGGGCGCTTGCTTTACAAGAATCTTCCCACTCCCTACTGTCATGTGAGTTGAAGTCTTTGTTATATGACTGTTGAGAGTTGAGGCGTGTTGTCGTCGAGGCTTGCTCCCGGAGGATCCGGATGCTGTTGTGCGACGAGGAAGTTTCGCCCCGCGAAGTTGGGTCAACCGGGATCCGGACACCTGTAACTCTAGTCCTGACTACCATCCCTATATTCCCTCTCGGCTCTCACAGGCACGGGTCCCATGTCTACATGCTGGATGTCAGCAGCGCTGATGCCATCTGCAGGTTCGGCCTGGGTCGGATTTGGTCGTGCGTGGGTTTGCAGGTCCAAGCCAGTTACATTCCTCAAGTGGCTGGCAATGCCTGATGCAGCTTCCCGATGTCGACCTTCACAGGTGAATGGGCAACGGCAAGGCGAGTTCTGTTAGGGAGACAACCCTGCACGCCCCGATGTTTCTGCCAGCGCCATCAAGATGACTCCCTTTGAGATCATTAAGGGTCGGTCTACAAGAATCCTGTTGAGCGTCGAGTGTCTCAAGACTGGACAGATGGCATGCATTGCTGACAAGAATGGCAACATTGGAACCGGAAACAAGGGGAAGAACAATTTTGGTGACTATAACGACGGCAACAACAACATTGGTGAGCTGGACTGGGGAGGCAATGTGCTGGCGCTGCACTGAAAGGGGTTGCTCGTGCTTGAGGTGCAGAAGTGGTGTGAGTGACAGCGGATGCCACATGCCCACGGCTTGTGATCTCCGTCAATGCGCAGGGAGCTACAATAAGGGCAACAGCAACTGGGGAGACAGGAACAAGGGCACCAATCTGCGGTGCAATGACGCCACGGGAACTCGAAAGGTTGTCAACACCTGCAACCTCAAGGGAATCCGTAGTTCTGGGCGTGTGAACTATAATCCTCCGCCGCCCCCACCCAAGAAGAATTCTTCCCCGCCACCCAAGAATTCGTCTGCCCCTCCACCCAAGAAGTCATCTCCCCATCCACCCAAGAAGCCGTTTCCCCCTCCACCCAAGAAGTCGTCTCCCCCTCCACCCAAAAAGTCGTCTCCTCCTCCACCACAGCCCCCATCTCCTCAGCCCTCCCCTGCGCCGGCCTCTGCGTCACCCTCCTCGCCTCAGCCCTCCCCTGCACCGGCCTCTCCATCAGCTCTGCCTGCCCCAGTGCTTAGTGCCGTTAGAGTTGATGGCAACAGGGTGAACTTCACTGTGACTGAAAATGACTACTGGATGAATAGCATTGATCTCTTCAAGAACAGAGTCCTTGCCTATTCGTGGACCGATCTAGACCATCATGAATATACCTACACCCCGAAGGATGTTTATACCCGTTGTAGTCTGTACTGCTTCACTTGCATCGCAAAGGATTTCGATGCAGCGACGTCCGGCTTGTCAAACGAGGTTTGCGTGTCGTTTTAAAGTTCTTGTTGGGAGCGATAGAGTGCTCGAGCAGTGACTAAAGCTGTAAGTCCTCATCGGTCCGCCATCTTGAAGGGGAGTGGATATGGCAACCATGATTGTCCTGTCAGTCCGTTGCCGCTTTCCTCGATATTAGTGAGATTCCACACGGGAGAGATCAAACAGCACGAAGGACAACAGTACTATGAAGGGTGTGAGGGACACCATTAACACATGGGGATCTGACAACCCAGCTCTCGCACAGACGTTGTCTGACCGGCATTGCGACCGATTTAAAATACAGGCAGTTTTGGCACAAGCAGTGTGACGTCCTGCTGTCTCGATCTCGATAATTGCAAATACCCTTTGGCGAAATCATGCAAAGCTAACAGGCATGATCAACGCACCAGCATCCGAGGGATCGTTCAAGATACTCGGTCACGGGAAATGCTTCCGCAGCAGTCCATGGGCGCGTCTTGGAAATAGACTTGCATACTATCCATGTGCAATCTACTGGTAAAGAGAGCCTGTCATTAAATTCCCCCTCGCCGAGATTGAGGTCGACTGCTTCACCCATGGTGGAACCTGCCCGCGGAACTGGCGTGCGCAATGCGTGGCAAGCGCCAAACCCTACGCACGCCTTGACAATCCGGTCCATGCAGGCTGGCAGCCGTACCAGCGCATCCTCTCCAGCATCCGACCCAAGTAAATGCGTGGTGTATATCCAATTTCCAGACTCTGTTTGACATGAGCAGGCTGTAACGTTAGATTCCACGTTATAGCGCTGTGAAGGCCTCCCATCCCTCAGCGTCCCGCAGTGGAGTATATCGCATCCCGAGGACCACAGCGAGGAGGGATACTCTAGAACTGCTGGCGATCGAACTTTTTCTTCCTTTGGTAGTCATGCGTGGGAACTTTGAAATGAGGCGACCGCTCCTGGTCTTTCTGCTGCTCTCGACGGCAGGCCTGTGCATGGCCACGTCGCGCCCCCATCGCTCTCACATGGCGAGCCTGGCAGAGGTGAGACCGTGCATTTCGCTCGGCCGCCTTCGATGCATGGCGACCTAATGTGTTGTCGGGGCCTAAGCCATGCGTGGTATGCTCCTGTCTGCCACAGGGAGTCAGCGTGGAGAGGACGGCTGCCGGGGTCGTGGTACACAGGCTCAGGTATGCGGTGGTGGCGGGCATGGGTGACCCCGGGGCTCATCCAGACGGTGTCGAAAGAGTGGGTGTCCCACCATCAGCACCACCACAGCATTCTTCCCCCATGGCAGGACACCCGGCCGGCCGATACCCCTCTACTTCCCCGACCTAGACAGCTACGCGGCCTGGTCTTCCCACACCAGGTGGGTTGCGGCCACGACAGCGTCCCAGCGTCGCAGTGTCTGGGGGAGAGACCCTCTTCTCATGGCTCCTCGAGAATGCAACAATGCCATGCTCCCGTAGGCATCGCACGCGCCCCGCCCCCTTCAATCCCTGCGCAGGCGCGGTGCGGCCAGCCAGCGCCTGGAGCACTCCAAGCGGTACGACGCGGACTCCGGATCCTGGACCGTGGCGGTGGCCGCCGCCCCGCCGCTGGACCTGCTCGTCGTGCACGATGGGAGCCGGGAGGTGGGCAGGTACGACCTGGTGCAGCGCGGCGGCGGCCCGGTCGCCGATCGGGCGGGCGGCGTGCTCCTGCTCCTGCACGCCGGGGCCGAGGCGGTGCCGGGGTCCGATGGCGCCCGCCCCCGGCGCCTGGCCGAGGCCCAGGACTGCTTCCTGGCGGTGAGGGGCACGCTGTACAAGTTCTCGGGCTGCCGGCGCGCGCGTTCCTACCTCCACGACTTTGTGGTGTACACCTCGCTGGAGACCGGGGCAGGGGGCCGCGGCGTCCTGCGCCTGGGCGTCCAGGCGGCGGCCGACGGCGGCTGGGCCGGGTTCGGCCTGTCGCACACCCGCAGCATGGAGGGGGGGGAGGTGGCCGTGCTGGCCACCGACGAGCGGGTGCCCTCAGGTCTGTTCGTGTGTGTGTGCGCTCTGTGTGTGCTCTCTGTGTGCGCTCTCTGTGTGTGCGAGGGGGGGCTGGCGAGCGGGGAGGTGAGTGGGGAGGAGCCCGGCCTGATGGGCAGCACCTTCACCAGCGGTGTTCGGCTCACCCCAAACCGGCTGCCGAGGGTGGCCAGGGCACCGGCCCGGCAGCTCGGGCGCTCCTTCAGCACGCCCCCACCCCGACCAACTCCCTGCACGCCCACGCGCAGGCGCCACGATCTCCAGATTCACGCTGTTCAGCCCCCTGGCAGAGCGCATCAACGCCGCCAACGGCAGCTTCGCGCTGCCGGGGGCCGTAGCCGAAGCACACCCAAGTGAGCGCCTGGGCGTGGGTTCTGAGGGGGAGGGGGAGTGCGGAGGGGGGTTCTGCCCGGCGTGGGGGAGGGGAGGGAGGGTGTGAGGGGGGATGTGAGCCGGGGCATGTTGGGCATTCCGGAGCATCCTGATACCTGGCATCCACCTTCCTGGCGTGGGCCGTGTGACCGGGTCGCTGCGCCCGGCGGCCGCGGACCCAGGCTGCCACGAGCACAGCATGGCTGTGCGTTCCCGGCAGGGTGCCTGATGCCGGGGGCGGTTCCTCGCCCCTGTGCCCCACTCCCAACCCCACTCCTCCCCCAGACGGCACGCTGGTGGGGTACTTTAGCGTGGAGACACCCGAGTCTGCTGCCTTCCTCGCCTCCCAGCCCCAGTACTTTTTGTTTGCGCGAGGGCCCCTGGCACAGCCGGGGGTGCTGGGCGCCCACTTCCACCCCACGATCGAGTACCCCTATGGCGGCATCGACATGGACCTGTTCCCGGTGGAGGGCGTCCCGGCCTCGCCGCTGGAACCCATCCACCCCGACGACTACGAGGTCCTGGACCTTGACCCCCCCCTGGCCGAGGCCGAGGAGGAGATCGCCGTCGCGTCGTTCTCTGATGATCCCTAGGCCTGCGCAGCCGCTGTATGACTGCACGGCTACCCGATGCAATTGCATCCCCCGTGTGGCTGGAAGGCAGCTAGGTGTGTGTAACGAGTTGAATGCGCGTCGTCTCCACGAAGCTTTGAAGACGTGGAGAGTGCTGAGCTGACACGACGGCTTTGCATGGTACAGCCAAACTCGCTGCGGTATGGCTGTCATGCGTATGGACAGCTGCCCTGATCGAGAGGATGCTGCCCAGTGGAGATGGCACACCAATATGTTGGGAGCGACAATGTGGAACAGCGGTCCACAGTGATTACCCTCTAACCCTGGCTTCCTCATTTTGATAACCACTTGCAGCGTCTTTTTGAGTTACATCACTGCCCATGTGGAATAGCAACGCAACTGAGGCTAGCAATGACGGACCATCCACTGAATAAGCGACAATGGTTTCTTTTTCCTCCGGAAAGCCCAAAGGGGCATGTTCGAACGCCCTGCCTGGGGTGTCCAAACCCTCACCGACTTGGATATGCATCGCGAATTCCATCTGTTCGAAAGGAACACTGGGAATCGACGCTGCATGAGAAAGGTACCCTGAGCTGCTGGACGCCCCAGCGGATTGACTCCATGATGGAGGGGTCAGCTTCCATGCAAGCACTTCACGCCCCAATACCGACTTTGGGGCACTGGGATTACGACCTGAGCAGTGACCACATCTCGGCAACTGATGGAGCTGGTATCAGCTAGAGAATCGAAATAGAGGAATGACTCACAGTTCCTGATATGGGCTGGCATCGTTCAAACCCTGCCCACATGAAAGGGGGTGGTTTCACCACGTCACATGGGGTGGTGGTGATCGGACGGAGTTGCATTGGAAGTTGATCGTCTGCATGGGCGGGTCTCCGTACCACTTGAAACGACCGAGTGGGTCCCCGGCATGCCTCAGGGCACTGAAAATGACCCTCATCATTGCACAATCATCATGCAGATATGAAAATCGTGCGCGGGCAGGCTTGAGCAATATCAAACGTGAAGTACCAGATCTGCCCATCCAAGAAGACAAAAAGGATCAGCCCCCCCACCGACAGGCCATCTTCAAATAGAGGTTGCCCCGACAGTCTGACACCGATTAGTTTCAGTAATTCAGACGAAGGCCGCTTCGATCAAATGATGAGGATGCATGTGTGGACGGCGCTCCTCCTCCTGGCATCTTCGAGCCATGCCGCTCATCAGGTCCGGAATCGGCGACGCAGCAGGTCGAGCAGACTGGGGCCCTGCCCCGCCGATGAAGAGCGTGTCCTTTGGAACTTTTCCTCACTCAATCACATCGCCTCTACACAGAGTTTGAGCGCAAGGAGGATTGACACGGGGGTGGAGTTGCACGGGCTGAGGTACAGCGGAGTCGGGGCTGAGGAGATCCATGCGATGCCTCATGCGAGATCTCCATGCCGGCTGCACGGTTCACAATCAGCAAACTTCCTCGATACTCCCACTCCAGATCAAAGCCCCAGCTTCGCTTCGCATACTTTCAGACCCTCGAAGTTGCAAGTCGATGGATGGCGGGTCAGGAGTGAGTGAGCTTGACTGGGAGAAGGGTTGTATGGGAGGGGGATTGAATGGGAGGGCTGACAAAGGCCCAGGCTGCCCCATCCCCCACTCGAACTTTGGATCCAAGGGCGCAGGCACCAGGGCTGGTGCACAGAGCCTTGATGCACTCTTTCCTCCCACACAGCAGGCCCTCGGAAGCACCGATGAGGGTACCGGCAACCCAGCAGTTTGACGCCCCATCGGGGACCTGGAGTGCCACTGCTGAGACGCCCAGCCCCGTCTCCTGGATCGTCCTGGTCGAGGACGGGGCGCAGGTCGTGCGACAGGCTGTGACTGGCAGGACTCCTGGGCGGGGTTCTGGGGTGCTGCTCATCGTGAGCGGTGACAAGGTGCTGTCCAGGGCTGACAGGGCCGGGCAGCGGGCTCCCTTCGGCCTCATGTCTGACTCCAGCTCGAGGTCGAGCCGCCGCCGCCTGCTGGCCACCAGCGACTGCACCCTGGACATCTCGGGCACCGCCCACTCCTTCACGGCCTGCCAGAGCGTGGCCACCGGCTTCACCGTCTACACGGCGCTGGAGGCTGGCGTCGGCGGCGTCGCCGTCCTGCGCATCGGCCTGGAGGCGGCCGCCTCCGGCGGCTGGGCTGGGTTCGGGGTGTCTGCCACCGGCGACATGGTGGGGGGGCAGGTGGGCGTGGCGGCCACCGACCCCGGCGTCCCCTCGGGCGCCACCGTGTCGGGGTTCGTGCTGCCCTCCACCTCCGCCCGCCGCGTGAACGCCGCCAATGGGACGCTGGCCCTGACCGAGGCCAGCGCCGCGGCGCGGCCCGGTGCGGGAGGAGTCTGATGGGACCGGATGGTGCCTGGGGTCCTCGCCGGTGCCTGGGGCTCTGGACCAGCGTGTGGTGTCCCGAACGGCGTGGCGGGGAAGGGAGGCCACCACCCAGGGGTGGGTGCCCGGCACTGCGGTGCACGCAGCGGATCTGCATGTGCTCCATGGCTGCTCCCCTTCTCAATTCTGGCCACCCTTCCCTCCCCTGCACAGACGGCACCCTCCTGGCGACCTGGGCGGTCCCCCTGGAGGGCACGGTCGCGTCGGCGCAGGCCGGCCCCACACGATTCATCTACGCCATTGGGCCCCTGTCTGAGCAGGGGGTGCTGGCCTCCCACGCCCGGGGGGGAACCTACCCGTACGGCGACGTCAGCATCAACCTGGTGGCGGCATAGACCGGGGGGCACGGCCCACCTGCTCCCCAATCGGCTCTGCCATGCGTTGGGCGATAAGGGTGGCAGACCTGGCAGCGGGACAGGGGCACCCTGGTCTCATCTGTGCTATTCTCGCGCGGAATGCAGGGCCGACTGGCATGCTGCCGGACACTTGTCTAGGTTTAACTTGTAGACGTGCATGTAGAATAGAAGTGTGTGTGGTTCAGAGCAGCGGTGGACATGTGCACAAGGGGCCTCGATACAAAGGTCCTCAAGAGGCATGCCCAGACGTCAGCGTCAGGCATTGCCCTCGCACTTGTGCTCAGGCCCATTGGTAGGCAACCACTCCCTGTGTACCTGTCTTTTCACTGCCAAAGACTTCGAGAAAGGCGCCAGTCTCGCAAACATCATGTCACACCATCTTCTCATCACCATGGAAACCCTCCCCCCACCCCCCCTTCCTCGGCTTCCTGACAAACATGAAATCGAGGTTTGCACAGCTCCAGGATTAGGCTGTGGGGCATTAGATTTTTGAATATCAACCCCTTTTTCTCCGGGAGACCTGACGACATACGAGCCTCAGGAGACGACGAGTAGCTGAGAGGGTAGCTGGCTCCTGGGAATCGAGCAGTTCCGCCTGTACGACCGGAAGACTGGCGCACGCCTCCAGCATGTCACCCACACATGAGCGGATTAAGCATGTACCAGACAGATCCCCTTCCATCCGACCAAGAAGTACCCCGCATCTGCAGCGCGATTATTCTCACGGTGCAAACCGGTCACGTGTCATTGATACCCTGTGTTTTTGCCACGGAGTACCAGCCGGGGGACCGGGCAGTTCTCCGCGTTCATTAACCCCTGGTGGTCCTGCCGTCCCAGAACTCCTAGGATCGATGATTCGATTGCAGCCGCTCTCCGGCCCTGTGGCCTCCAAAATGTTCGTCTTAACGGTGCTCATTTTACTGCCACTACTGGCCAGGCTGCTCAGCAGGTCCAAGGTCGGCAGACCGACAGCTCCAGGGTGAGTGCATCAGGGTTCCCCGTCCAGCTCACCATGCTGGCTTGAAGGAGTTGCACAGTGAATGAGCGTTCCTCGGTGGCCTACTCGCAGGTCCTGGACGTAGTCAGCAGTGCCTCGGGGCTGCAGCTGAAAGGGTTGAGGTGAGCCTTCCTGTGGATCCGGCCGGCCGTGAGACCGACGATTCCCTGGGGATGCTGAGCCCTGTGACAACCAATTACCGCAGATCGGAGTCTAAGCTTCGTTTTGCATACTTTGAGGACCCTCGGGATGCTGCACTCTGGACCAGCGGGCAGAAGTGAGCGGCAAACCCTGCTGGGGTTGTCGGGATTCCGGGGGGGGAAGGTGGCGGACCTCAGACGTGGCCACCTGCAAGCCTGGTCACGTGCCGTTGGACCACGCACAGATAATTTTCCACCTCAATGCACTACTCACACCCACTTTCCAGGCCTGTGCACCGTCCAGGGCGGGTAGCACACATCCAGCAGTACCATGCCGCCACTGGGACCTGGAGCGCGGTGGTGGAGGCCCCGGGCCCAGTCTCCTCGGTCACCCTGCTCAAGCAGGGGGTACGCGTGGCGCACCGCGACCTCAAGCGCGACGCAGCGGGTCTTGCTTCCGGCGTGCTTGTCGTCTCTTCGGGGAGCACGCCCACCGCCAGCAACAGCCGTCACCGCAAGGAGGCAGAGCGCATGGCCGCCCGTACAGCCTCCAGCCGCCGCCTGCTGGCCACCAGCGACTGCACCCTGGACATCTCGGGCACCGCCCACTCCTTCACGGCCTGCCAGAGCGTGGCCACCGGCTTCACCGTCTACACGGCGCTGGAGGCCGGCGTCGGCGGCGCCGCCGTCCTGCGCGCCGGCGTATCGGCGGATGCATCCGGCGGCTGGGCCGGCTTCGGCGTCTCCGCCGACCAGTCCATGGTGGGGGGGCACGTGGGCGTGGTGGCGGTTGACTCCGGCGCCGCCTCAGGAGCCAGTGTGTCGGGCTACACGCTGCCCTCCTACACCGCCTCGCGCGTGAATGCGGCCAAGGGGTCGCTCACCCTCTCCGATACCAGCGCCATCGCGTTGTCCGGTGCGTGTTCGTTTGAGGGTTGGGGGCAGGAAGGGGGGAAGGAGGGGATGGCAAGCCGCAATCTGGCTGAGCCGGGCGGGTGACCAAGACTGGCCTGGGGATGAGAAGGAGGGATCATTGTTTTGGTGACCTGGGCGAATTTCATCTGTGCATGCCTGCAGCCCCATTCGCCAGGGGTCCCCCCCTGCGTGGCTTGTGTTCTACAGATGCTGACTTCAAAACGTGGCCGTGTCCAGGTCCTGCTCCACCGTCCCCCACCGCATCCCCCTTTTCCCTCCCGCCGCCCACAGACGGCACGCTTCGCGCGACGTGGTCCTTCCCCCTCAACCAGACCCTGGCCGAGGCGGAGGCCGCCGAGACCGGGTTCATCTACGCCATCGGGCCCCTGGCCGGGGCAGGCGTGCTGGGCTCCCACATCAGTGGCAACGGCCACCCCTACGGCGGCCTGGCCATCCAGCTGGCCTCGGCGGGCGCGGCCAGCCCCGCAGTCGCGCCCTCCCCCGGGAGCGCCGCC